TCTGGAATTATTCCTAAGAACATTTATATTCTGGAATTATCCATTACTTTTGATTAGAAGACCAATTACAGTTGGATTATTAAGAAGAATAAAGAAACATTTGGAAATTTAATCGTTTCTAACACTAAACTTCTTGATAGAAGAATCTTGGATTACTTATCGTATTTTCGTATTCGAATTGTATTTTGGATGACGATTTTTTGATTTTGGATATCTCTTATTGAACTTATCTGTGGAATTCCTATATTTTGTATTTGTTATTTATCTTCCGTTGAACTTCACTTATAATGATCCACGACAAGAAAACAAACAAGAGGAGGGTGGAAGATCTTGACGTATCTCGAAATGCTAGGCAAGTCGTTATTGATACCTTTTTAATGGGTAACCACTCTGTTAACACTGATGTTATGTCTGATACTTATTATTGTAAGTCACCTTTGGCAGGCATTAAGGAACCAGGATTAAGTGAGAGTTCTAAGGTACCAGAGACCGATCAGATACTTAGGACACCGATAGTAGGTTTAGAACTACCTATGGTTGAACTTTCAATTTTTGATGGAAAATCTCGCGACTACTTTAGGTTTATGCGCCAAATAGAAACGTTTATTGAACCCAGAATAAAAGATGACCACGTGCGTTTATTGTATTTAATTCACTATTGTAAAGGAAGGGCAAAAAATGCGATTGAAGGTTGTATTATAATGGATCCACAAGCGGGATATAAGAGAGCTAAGGCCATCTTAAAACAGCTCTTTGGACAGTCGCATGTAATAGCCCGAGAAACCTTAGAGGACTTATTTAGAACCGGGAACGCAGATTTTAATGAGCCTGAATTATTGACGAATTTGGCTATTAAAATGCAGAATGCTGCTTTAACCTTAGAACAGCTAAATTGTGCAACGGAACTTCATTCCCTGGTTACTTTAGAACGAATAGTCAGGCTCTTACCTCGTCGAATGCAAGCCCAGTGGGCAGAGCTGGGAATCAAGTGGGACGAAGAGGAGAGAGAGCCTAATTTCAATGAGTTGACGGAATTTATTATGTCTCGTGCTAAGATAGCTAGTAGTAGGTTCGGGAGATTAGCTTATCGGGCTAAAACAGGACATAATAGGGAAGCTATTGGTGGTCTGCGTGCGAGACATGAGGATACACAAGGTTGTGTAACTGTAAGTGTTCCTACTTCGGTTGACTGTCAGTCAAGTGATGATGAGAAGGAAGCGTCTGATGGTAACAACCAATCTTCAGTGTTGCATGATAATGATGCTATTGATGAGCATATGTCTTGTGTCTCTAAAACGGAACATGAAGAACAACAAGTGAGTATATCAGTTTCGAATTGCGATACTAATGCTGTTCTTTCATGTAGTGATATGAGTTATACAAAAATGGAAGAGTCTCACTCTACGGATGCTAGTGCAGACCGAATCGACGCGATTTGTCTGACAGAACGGAATCATGATGACGTTGATAATAATCTGGATGTCACTGATGTGACAAATGAGTTGTCGACGATGACGAATGCTGATCAAACCTCCTCTGTATCAGGAGATGGAGAGATAAATATTGACCCCATGTTATGCTACTTAAAGTCTTCTGGAGACGATGAAATGTCAAAATTGGAGATCCCACACTTGCATATTATCTATGGGTCAAGAATTTCTGTTGATAAGTCAGCATCACTGACTTCATTGTATCTGCCGATCGGAGCAAGTGGTGGTGAAATGAAGACTCATCCCCATGATATGGAATGTAGTTCCCGGATAGGATATGACCAGCCTAACGACGTGTTGTACATGTTCGTGTGGGTTAATTGGGTAAGGTTTATACTACCGTTAGGTCATGCTACGATAGATAGGGGAATCAAGGGCCTGATGGGAAGGTATAGGTACCTAGTTAGCTTGATAGGTCATATCCATGTTGGAGGGCGGGTAAGCGTATTGCTGTAAGTCCTACACGTTCTTCCGGTGTGGATTAGGGGATGAGTGGGAACCCTAAAAATTGAAGTGTCATTAACTATTGCTTTCTTGCATGGAGGGATTTTGCGGGCCGGTGTAGAATCCTTTTTGAATGTTTTGTTTTTTGGAAAATCCCTCCATGTTTACATATTTTTGTTATGACATGACGGACTTTTTCTGTTGACATTTTTGGTATTTTATTTGATTCCAATTTGAGATTTTATCATTGTATATTGTTATTATTTCTATATTTTGTACTTATATTGAAGTTTTTGTGTTTGCTTCTGATTGTATATATGTTGTTTAAATTTGACCTTTAATATGGCTACAGCCATATTTGGATTGATCCGGTTGCAGTTGGACTTAACGCCACTTACTCATCCTTGTTGGATGCTCTTCGGAGTAATTGTAACCTGGAAGGAGCATTAATTCCAGACCGCTTTCTCCTAGAATTTTTGTCATTTTTTGATTTGTTTGGACCTGGGACTGGGAGAAACGAGTGCACCTATTGGAACCCATTGGAACTGCCACCGTAGAAATCCATTTACACCTTTGTCAGCTTATTAGAAGTACACAACAACCGACAACAATATTAAAGCTACTTGGTGGCGAGCAGCAGTGCTTCGAAATAATACAAATATTAAATACTTCGTGATTTCAATCAGTCACAAAATGGTTTATGTGAACATTGTGCAGTAACGCATTTTGATCCGATAAACTTTCTCAATGTAATATTTTAGATTTGTTGCATATCTGATGTATCTCTTAATGTAAGCATTTTTTATAAGAAGATTATTACCAAGTTCGAAATCGGTTTGAATATGGTGTAACGGGTTAAAATCACTATGTACGATGTTGTTAACCCGTTCTGTTTTCTTTTTATTGGAAGGCGATCAAACATAAACGCTTTAGAAGCTGAAGAATAAGACCTGAGTGCTCTGAACTTACAGGATGACTCATAAGACTTTGGTAAACAAGCAATCCCTTTCCAGTACAAAACCTGCGTTATTTAATTTTAAGATAAAGAGTGCTCTGGCTACCACTTGGTGTTCTCTCTTGGTCTGAAGTCCTCAGTTAACCTTGTGGGTCGTGATTTTAGATCTTATCCGCCCATCAGTGACTGCTGATTACAGGTGTTACAAGGGTAGCTAACTATTCCGTATACTTCTTTTAAAAAAGCACTGAAGTGCTACTTAGCTATTTGTCCGTAGCATATTAAGTATACGCTCTCAAAAACATTGAATTCCCAGGAAATCCGTTTGAAGAGGTTTTCCGTGGTGAAATGTCTTCCTGCCTTTTTTGATTTATCACCAGTTATGTTCTAGTATAGCAGTAAATTTTCTCTAGAAGTAGTCGGTAGAGGTACAAGTGTCTCTTAAAATTAACTAAGAAATCTTAACATGCTAGATTACAAAAAACCTATTTTGTATGTAAGGCATACGCTACCAAGGTGGTTTCTACAGGTATGCAAGATATGACATTGGTGCGTATCTTTTTGATTATAGCATAGAATTAATAATTGTTTGCATTCGGGATCATTTACGCGTAAAAGAGTGGATATTTGAAATCACTCACTACTCAGTAACAACTAATTAAGAAGCGCTGTTCAGCATGTGCTAAGCTAAGTCGATTTTATCCGTTGCAAAATTCTTACTTTGTCTTGTCCTCACCACCGCTACCTAATACAGTCTAAAGACAAAAGTTATGAACGGAGGACAGTAGTACATTCTGATGAACAGCCAACCCAACGATCCTTGAGCCTCTAAATATTTTCAAGGGATTCATGTGGATCTGAACATTTCTTGACCAAATATCGAGCCTAACTAAGCTTTTTTAGATCAGTATAAATGCCAGCGATTGTGACAGAATCTTAAATTCAATGAAATAGTACGCATCCAAACTGTAAAACTATTGAGGTGTCACTGTGCTGCGGGCAGACCATCGATAGGTCATTAAACACTGAACAGTTTGTCGATCTCAGTCCAGCTTATGAACGCGTCGCAACTAATTCCATGGTATGGTTAGGCACAAGTGACTTTGACTCCTCCTAGTCCTTCCGTACAGATAGTTCCGCATATTTAGTTCTTTATTGGGATTATTTATTCAGGTACGTCATTGCGAAGTCAAATCGCTGGTTATCAGGATAACAGTCCAGTTTAGGTGCTAAATAAGAAGCTGGACTTATTTGTCCATTAGGCTGTCATATCGTTGCCATCCAGAGTTAGCAGAACTAAAGCGACAGCGCAGATTACAAACGCTAGTGATCTACCAAACTTACACAGACGCTGAGTATGGAAAAAAATAACTTTATCACGTCATGACATTCATCGGTAGGATGAATAGTTTTAGCTTTATGCGCACATTTTAAACTTTTTCTGTTTATTAGGTGTATTTGAGCCGCACTTAAATTTGCGGTTTTGCCACAGATTTAACATAATCATTCCAAGTCATTAGTAGAGATCCATTATGAACACCTCGACTCCGAGCAATTCAACATGCAAGGTGATAATAAAGGTAATAATATATTTACTCGCAAGTCTCAGCGATAGAGATAGATAGAAACAAATATCCCTCCCCATAGTCTGACCAGATTAAATTCCATTATCTCACAGTTGCTGAAGCATACATTTACGTTTAATATTCATCATGCAGAAGCAACAGTCAGTAAAAAATTTATTTCGAAAACCTAATTATCTGAATAGCAATCTCCGTATGCCCATGATCTGTGTGCGCTTCACGTAAATGAAAGTTCGTTGACTGATAGGCGAATCGATAATTTTGGCCCATATTCATATAATTTGTGTTCAAAAAGGCTTTTCTGTAGGCTAAATTACTTTAAGCCATCAAACGACCTGAGTTCAACAATACGAGCAGATATTCCATGCCTACATCACCATAGATTCGACAGGGAAAGTTAGTGTCACATCATTTTAGATTAGTGTTGAATATATATATTAGTTAATGAAATTAATGCTGTTTTTAATTTCAACGAATGATCGATAGAATTGGGAAGTTTAAATGCATCAATTCAATTAACTCATTCAAGCAAAGTGACAAATGTTGGATGAACAGTTTGATTAACCAATGAGTTGAAGTTAAAACCAAGGGATCATGCAGGACCATGAAAAGGGCAAAGAAAATATTCGGGATTCATTAGTAGATGTGCATGTAATTTTGCTGGATGGTAGTACGGAGAAATTTTCTCTGTCTGTGAGTTTAATTTCTTTTTCATGGGCTAGTATAAACCAATTGTTTTCTTTACGCTCGCGCGCTTCATAAATGCCTAAATCTATGTCAAGGGTCCCAACTGTTTTCAATATGATTCTTTTTGGATCAAAAATTTTGTCTTTCAATCGATTTATCAATGCATTGCACAGATTAAATGTTTACTGCAACCCCAAATAAATATGTTGTTTCAAGTTACATGTCGGTATCGTATTATTAAAATGTGATAGCTTATGAATACGACTGGTTTCGTTTTGTGGATAGTTTTTTTCAATAAACGGAAGCCCCATTGAAACTCTAACCCTTATGAGGCCGTACTCTTTCCTTATTTATATGTTGTTTGCACATTTATGTCTAAATAGCACTAAATTGCTAAGCATTATTTGCACTTCGGCCTATAAGTGTAATCTGTTGACTATAAGGACCCCTGGCAGTTTGCTCTGACTCAGTTACCATCAGAATACTTACCCCGGACCACCTAAACCATGATTGTAAATGACTAGAGGCTTCAAAAACAACGATAAAAGGTCAGTTGACTGAAATTATTCTTCGCAATTTATATTACTATGCAGATCCAATATCGTTTTGGATGAACTAAGGGACAAGCTGATATTAAGTGTTTTGGTTTATAATTCTCGTAATTCATCACTTAGTGCGAGAAAAAGAACCCCAGGCTTAAATGATATAATCTCGGTTTTCTAACTTTCTTTGAATGTCTCCTTAGATGATCAGTTCTAGGTGGGAGGAAGAGATAAGACATATTAATACCGAAATCATCGTTCACTATATGGTAAGCCAGTATTGTTTAGTCCTATGCAGTCATGTTCACGTTTACTTGTTGTTAGACGTTGTTATTCGAGTAAGGGATAATTGCAAAGAAAGATCCAAAAGGAAATGTGAATTTAAAAAATTTACTCCTACCTAACTTAACGGATAAATTCAATTCTACAAGATAGCATCTATTTTTCTAGATGTTGTAAATACCCGTACATTGAGAAACCATCTCTCTTATTGTTGTAATTCCTTTGACGCCAACTTCTGAACATATTCGTTGAAAGGGATCTCCTGCCGTCACTATAATGCCAACTTGGTATGTCTTGGTTGCATACGACTGTCTAACAAGTAAATGGAAACGTTGATCCACTTGGTTCTTAGCTTTTTGGTTGATTGATCACCTTACTGTTGACAGTTTCATATGTGCTCGTACAAGCTATGTATCGATGGATTTTGTTCTGACGTAATTCTTTGAATTTTATGCTACAAACAAACTTCTAACTTCTGTTTTTTGTGGTGTGAATGATGTAAAAGTTTCATTTTTTGGTCTTCCCAAAATGAAAACGTTGTAGTCAAAAGTGATTTTTCGGTTGTAGTCTTGGTTTCTCCCTGATTAACTAAATTTAGTTTGTCATACCTATGCCTTTTACTACAACTCGCATGTTTCAACAGTAAGTCTGTCAGGTATTAACCACCAGCTTACTCTACTTGTAGAATAACTAGGATTTATAGAGCATTAATCAATGATTTCTAGTAAACACACTACCTTTTTATCTGCAATTGTTTTACGTAAGACTATCTTCGGGACCTAGATATTACTGTTACTTTGAGGTTTTTGTATTAATAGCTAAAGTAGATTGTAATATCTGAGGAAGTCATAAGCTACTTTATGAATCGGATATTTTTCTTCTCCCAATTAACAAGCAGTACTACTGTGAGCTTTCTTTTTACAGTAGTGAATAATTTTCAAGTGTCACCTTTTCAATACTTTAATAAGCAGATAGGTAAAAACAAACTTTATGTATTATTTGTTATTGTAAATTGGATGCTGTTCGCAACAAGTAGACAACCCTAGAGTTCATTTTTACGACGTCCTTTGAATCTTAAAAATTTATGTTTTTCACTATAAACCTTTTATGGAAATCTCAGTCTATTAAATCTCTCTACGTCATAGATTTGTAAAGCCCAACTTTTATGATTCTATTTAGGCATTTGTTAACCCACAAGAGTAAATTCAAAAACGAATTTCTATCGCTCTACCAAACTCGTTCTTTTATTTATTATAGGAGAGATGCTTGGGTCTAGATGTATTTACTTTGGTAACTAAGAAAATTGGTACCTTTGAAAGTGAATACTTTGGGCTGATATACTCTGACTTCGAAGGCAACAGTGTGAGTTTGAACAGACGTTTTTCAGCGATTTGTACTTTCAAAACAATTTTTAAATCACCTCTCAACGGATCATATGTTCGTACTTCATTTTTTTATTACTTATTGGAAACATGCTTTTCATAGTTTGCAGGATAGCCCAAACGTCACTGGTTGTATTAGTCGATAATTAGTGAATACTAAATTCCCATTTCTGAACACACACTATTACTACTTCCCCTATACATGTTTCATGCTAGCTTAGACACTTCTTAAACATTCAATTAAATCATTTGTTAGGTAGGATGTGATAGATATACCATAAAGGGGAAATGTCGGAGTTGAATTCTCATCTGTTTGGTAAAATGCTTCTTGTGGTTAAGTATGCACCACATATGGTTGACTGAAGACGTCAGTAGGTAGTTACATATTGGATGGCTAAAAATTGACTTAAAAGTTGCACCATTTATATTTTTATTTCCGCTACAATAACATAATTTTCTAGTATCTTAGCATATTTTTTGTTGGTTCGATTGCTTCATGGTGAATAATATGTTATAACAAAACAGACATATTGAAATTATTGTTCGAGAACATTCCTTCATCAAAGATTCGTTTTATGCTTAAAACTGTTGTGTTAGCTCAGCTGTATGTATAAATGTTGATGAAAATATGAAACATCGAAAATAAACTAATATCAAAAAGGAAAATAATTGACCAGTCGTCCGTTCTAATTTTAAATAATTTGTGTTAGAATTTACACAAAAAAAAATTATTAACGAGAAGTAAGAACAAGTTTCTCCTATCATTAAATGAGTCTAACACAACATAATTGATTCATAAGTATTACGATTGATTTAAATCGTCTATTCTGTTTATAGTTATTCATCTTTGATTAGCATACAAAATTAGTTCAAGATGAATCAAAATCGATGGTTTAAAATTGATTCATGATTACTTTAAAAATATGCTGTAAAAACTGCATTTGTATTACTTTTGGATTTAATTTTCGTGATCATTAAAAATTTGTATATATTTTTCATCATTAGTTTAAAAGCCAGTGATAAATGAACAACCTTTTGTGTCCTTCTTTTATTCTTTTACATTTATTAGCTATCTTTTTTCGCCAATTTAAAACGTAATAACTTGAGGTTGACGTATTACTCTATGGCGACACTTGCTGAGGTATTCATCAGAGAGTTACAGTCGAGTGATATAATGTCAGTGTGCATAATCATTCTTTTAGGTCGTCACTTTGGAAATAGCTTTCAAAGTGATAGCAAACTGATAATATGAACAACTTATATGTTCTTAATGAATAACAGGATTTATATATGAATTATCTGTTTTTTTTATTCTTGTTACGGTTTATCTTAGTGTTGGATTGACAATGACAAACCCCTAACCAAAATTTTGCGAAATTCAGGTACACGACCGTTGGAGCTTTTGTTCCAGGTCAAATTTTTTACACCATATCCAAATCTACTGGAAGATGACTTAACGAGGTTAGTGGTCAATTTCAATGATAAATACTTATTGTCTCTTACCAAAGCGGTCCAAGTTATTATTTCGTCTCTATCTTATTATATCACCTTCCAGGTACCTGTACGCTCTACAAATCAGAAACGATTTCTTTCAAGGTTTGTTACACAGTAACCGTAACACCAGTCTTTTACTCGCAGCATTCATTGCACAGTGTAAGTTTATTATTGTAAATGTCAATAAAATGACATTTATAACTGTTCGATATATTATTCTGATGTATACGTTGTCCAACTTTTATTTTCGATCAGCAAAAAATTACTCCTTTTAAACGAAAATGAATTTGACAGTTATCTGAGAGATAAATCTGTAACTGCCCAGTCTTTAAATACTAATCGTAAAATTTTTGTGTGAAGTGTTTATTTTATGTAGACTGTCAACATAAATGAATTTTGATAGAACAGTGAGAAGACGTAATTGATCTGAAAAGTGTGATGTATTCGCGCTACAAATTTCATTGTGATTTCATTGTGATACAGTCAAAAACCTGAATATCAAGGAAAATGATGTCCAATCACCTAACTTGGCGCACTTTATCAGTCGAAAGTGATGATAAACATTACTTGGTATTCATTGAATAATTCACCAACTTAGTATGAAAGTAAATAACTTTATATCAAAGACATTTGAAACATCATTGAATGTTTCACCATAATTAAACTACGTTCATGAACTACCACCCAATGCTATATTTGTGATTGCATTATAAAACTTATACAAACTCTTATTTATTGTGAATTTTCTATGAAACTTACTTTCTGTAACTGTAGATTCACCTGTTGTATTGGAATTGTTGTGTCAGCGTTTCAGATATCGCCTTACTATTATCTGAATAATTTTTTAGGTTATGGATAAATTCAAGATATTGATTATTAAGTTAAAAAAATAAGTGTCGAACTGTTACATGCACACGCTAAGTTAGTTATGCATTGACGTGTTTATTGAAATGCATATTATGTTATATTTTCACATCTCTGTCTAATAGCTCAATTGGGTGATTTTCAAGAGTCAGAATGTCGATCATATGCATACTTAAAGAAGCATCATATATTTAGAACTGCACCAGATTCCTATTTAATGCGTCTTATGGAGCTGCATCAAACGCTAAAGTGAGTTATCTTGGTATTTTAAAGTATTACTTTGCAATATTTTGGTGAAACGGTCTTCAAAAGAACGAATGTAATTAACAGAATTCAGGAAAAACAATAATAGTTAACTATGCACATCATATTATAAACAAGAGTACCAATCAAATACATTCATTTGAACTGACTTATAAAATGTGTGAAGATATCGCGAGTTGTGTAAATGTTTACTATACAGAAATGCTCATACTCAATATTATAATAAGAAGGACAGTAGTCAATTTCTTTGTTTGACTTTCTTGAGTAATTAGTATGAACCATACAACTTTTTAGACATCTAACTTCGTAAATCTTAGGGGCGGGAGCTCCAAAATATCCCTCTAAAAAGTCTCTAGACGTCTAGAACGTTAAGGAGTGTTTTATCTGATAAGCATTGACAAGAACCTTCTGAGAAACATCTAGGAAATATGGACTCACATGCCACGATTATGACTGATTATTTAGCCGTTCCACCACAGTACTTAGTAGAACCTTCTGGAAGCCCAGGATCATGAGTAACTGCATAAATACCTTCATTTTTCTGTACATTTGACCAACCTTAACGTAAAGAGTCCTTTTTGTACTTGGCGCTCTTTCCTCTGTGCTTAAGTTGCAGTGTGGATTTAGATTGGTGTTGTTTGAAAGTGGATAAAAAAACCAGATCTTGCGTCCATTTAGCAGACGTATCAGTAAAAAGATATGGAATGCTTGGCTAGCATTCTTGAACATGCCTTACTCGTGTTATAAGAATGAGCTATTCATTTTCCCATATAGGTACAACATTTTGTAAAGTTAGTGCATATATAGCTGTCGTAAGTGTTTATGTAATCAGTTAGTCGTGAATTTCTTGTATGTGGTGCAACTACTGAATTTCAGGTATTTAGTTTGAAAGTATAGTTTGATTTCAAGAATCATATTTACCGTTTTCATATGAACGAGTTATTACTCAATTGCTTTACGAAGAACCCTAACATGTTAGCTATGAAAAAGCAATGGTCAGAAAATCAAAACCGATGATATCGAATTTGGTTGTAATTCTTTCACTCATTTACGTAGAAAACTATGAAATCAATAAATACTGTAGTAAACGGAAGTTTGCCATTCGGAACTTTGAGTGATAAGGTTTTGTGTGATTCTGCCTAAGCATTCTATACCACTTTCCTGACTAATTATTTCATCATTATTAAACTTCTTCACCATCGTACTTTGATTATTTTTCTGCCTTGTTCATTATTTTAGTAACTGTTACGCTTCTGACTTTAACCAATATTCTATTGTCTAAAGTTTAAATAGTTATTCAGTTTAGTTTATTACTTAAAAAGTATGTTATGATTTTTAAACCATTTCGGATAGATTAATTATTCTTTTTAAACCAATTGGTTTTCCCTTTGATAAACGATTAAATGTATACATTTCATACTTTTAATATAGAGGAATCACAAAATCAGAAGCTGACTATCGTCTTTTAGATGCTGCTCGCAAAGTTGAATTGTATGGAATTCGTTTACATGCCGCAAAGGTAGAGTGAGATGTATTTTACAAAGATTTTTTCTCACGTTTACAATGTAACAAGAATCTATTTGATGAACTGTGTTATTATTTTTTGATCCATATTCGTTTATGAATCTCTACTCCTAAGTGGTTGAATTGACTTTGATTCTTTAATTAACAAAATTATTTATTACGCATGCCATTTGTTCTTAGAAATGCAAAATGCAGGCTTTTTTTCTGTTTATTAATAATAATTTGGGTATACGTACAGTATTCCACTGGGACACTTGAATTTCAATCTGATTTGTCTTAGATTTGGCGAAATAAGAATCTTCCAATTCCCTTCTAACAACCACCGAATATAAATATGAATAGTATTTTACGAAGTTGCTGCAACGTCATAACAAAGCAAAGGCTTCAAAAAATATTTTGTTAGTCGAAAATAACTGTTGACTCCTTAAACCAAGGATAGGATGCTAGCCTCTAAAAGCTTTGATGTTCCAGACGTTGCGGAGTGTTTGCTCTTCCTTTACAAATTACTTCGTAGAGTCACGTATATGTAACCAATGTCAAGAAAGTCCTGCTCACTGTTTTCTCGAGGCAGAGGTGGTGTTCACTAAGTTGCAAAGATGAAAAGGAGAATATCTATCGGAGGCATCAACTGGGTTGGTGGGTACAGAGGATTTATCTAGGGGAGCTAGAAAACTGTGATCCTAACAATGTTGCACATAATCTCTAGAATCGTGAACAATAAAATGTTATCCTAACTTATTATTGTTCAGCTAGTTGTTTTAATGTAGTGTTGATTTAAGGTTTCATTAATTTTTACTCAATAATACTTTGATGATTGATATCATATATAGTAGTCTCTAACAACAAAAAAGAGTGTTACATCATTGAACCAAAATTGTTAAACGTTTTTAAGTATCGATTATGAAAGGTTATGAAAAATGGAGCAGCGTTGGATTATTTAGTAAAGTAAACACAGATTATCAAAGTATTTCAGGAATTGAATATAATATTCTGTTGATATATTAGTTCACTTAACAATGAAATCAAAATTATCAGACCTTTTCAAGTATTGAATAAAACATAGCTGTTACATCGTCTAACACAGTAATCAAAAATCAACAAAATATTAAGTAATAATCTAAGAGCTAATACGAATTAGAATTTAGGGCAATAAATGTAAAAGACAACAGTTTACTCTACGAAGATGGTGAGTTATATGATTATTATTAGAAAGGTTGCCAAGATTATGGATGAATAAGTGGTTAAACATAATCTTTCTGTGCACAGAGATCAGATTTGTTCTGGTGGACTACTATAGCTTCAGCTGTGCACAGCTATTATTTCTGGACTTCTCTTCTTCCCTTTACAGATAATCTTGAACAATGATCCTTGGGGTGTAACGTGACGACTACAGTTGACCGCGTATTTAAGGTTTGGGTTGTTGATTAGTTTGTATTGTTCTGAAGACAAGCATATAAGGTAGTGCTCAGATATACAAAGTGCGCACATTGTATGGCCAGAATAACCTACTCCACGGGAGCACGTAAATTAGCAAATGCTCTTGACTGAACCAGGTTCCTACTGGAGGAAGCGATTTGTAGCTTAACTAAATAAAAGATCCCTTTCAGAGTTCTAGACACCTTGTTCTATAGTCGCTCTAAGCAGAAAACAACTGCCTAGAAAAGTTCTTCGGATAAAACTTTATTTTTAAACTGTAAAATTTAAAGTTCGTTCTTTTAATAAAACTGCAAGCTATATTTCTGTGTCACCTAGCTATATTGTACAAACCAATCATTCATATATTTTAATTATTTTAGAATATAGAAGATAAACCAGTGAACTTAGGCGTTAATCACTTAGGAATTATGATATTTGAGAATTTTTCTCGTGTGAATACGTTCAATTGGTCAATGATTCGTAAACTTAGTTTTAAACGTCGTAAATTACTACTCAAACTTCATATGGAAGCATATGTAAGCAATAATTTATCACTTATTTTTTAAATAAAAACTTTTTCAGCTGTCATTATTAATATTAATGTTATACTATATATTATCTCTAAAGCTGAACCAATGATGTATTGCTGATAAGTCTTTAACAAGTATAAACCTTCTGTTCAATTTTTCTCAGGGATTTTCTAGCTAATGTCAGTTTTTAAAAATCAAAAAATTATTTGTTTGTGTTTTTGAGAAGGACTGGATATTTTTTTCAAATCTATGCAATATCAAAAATGTGTTTACTGTATGCAAATATAAAAACAACAATTATTTGTCATTATGTTGTTACAATTAACGAAGTGACTATAGATTAGGAGTCGATTGTGAATAGTTAAATTTATTAATTTTTTTCCTTTACAGATAATAAAGTTTTGTTGAAACACTTGTTTATGTGTAGACATGTTTATATTCTTGCTTTTCAAATACCTGTTCATTAGTTGTGCACTTAAATTCATAAGTTTAACATGATCATTGAAATCTTTCGTTTCTTACTAATTAGAATAAACTGTAATTAAGTTGAGAAGATGGAAATAATAAGTAATGAATTATTTCCTACATATCAATTGTATGTATAATTAAAGTATGGGAAAAAAGATAATCTTCAAATATCCTAACATAAAAATCCAGTAAAGTTTTGATTATCTTTTTGAGTGTTTCTAACATTTAAATTAATGTGAATTTTAAGTGTCAAATAAGTTGAACAATGATATTTTTTATTGAGCATAAAATTTAAATTTCATAATTATGAAAGTTCTAGACGATTGCTCTCAATCTTACTGAGTCATTAGAACACAAACTGAGTTATATCAGCATTGTGTGTTTTTCAGTATATATATTATATACCTACAGCTATAGAAACTTTCATTTTGGTTTTGGTTTTCTATGCGAAACATTATTATTCATTTGTACATTCTTGATTGTCTTATCTTTTCTCATTTAACTCAATCTGAGTTGATCTCGTCGAAAAAAAACTAGCTGGAAATAAGAAGAACACTGTTGGGGATGTTAGATCCTCAGAACTCGCTTGATAAATATCTTTATTTTGGATTTATTTCATGGACAGATCAGTTGACCTTGAGATAACATTTCCCAACGGGAAAATCCTTGGCTGTGATTGGTTACCGTGACATTTTAGTTTGCTATTTTGTGGCTGTCTCTATAGAGTATAAATAAACGTAATTTGAGTGCTTGGGTCCATTGTGTGCTGGCTGAGTGTTAGTAGAATACAATTTCTACACAATATCAAGACTTCTCGCCGTTACCTTTTGGTCAAGGGATCACAAAAGCCTACCTGGACGCTGGTTCATTGTTTTGTTCTCGTTAGTCGACTGAGGTGAACTCGTAATAGTTTAAGCATACCTAGAGACGAGCGTAACACTTGGTGACGGGGATATTGTTGATTTCCATTATTAAAGGAAATAAAATTAAATGTATTTCTCTATATGGCCGAATTGTATCAATATGAATCCGAATAGCCATTGAATATTAAATGTATATACAGAGAGAGGGTTTTCATTTTTCTTGAAATCATATCTATTAGTTAGAATGCTTACAAGCTGAGTTACTGGAAATGGTCAATTTTATTTTGTTGTAAAGAGTTTTAACTGTACTTAATCAGTGCCTTTTATTTCGTTTTGTTTTAGAGTTACGGAAATGATATCATAGAATTTGCATTTTCTACACGTAATAGTTGTAAAAATTTCTGGAAAAAATGTATTGAACAGCATACATTTTTTCGTTCAATGTCACCATATGGCAATAGAAAGTGTGGTACTGTTAATCATCATAGTTCCGTTGTATTTCCTCATTCATTTACGAATATTTTCTCTTTACCATTTGGTAAACTTCATAGATCAGCTAGTTGTGGAGCAAATGGTTTACTAAACTCAAAAACATCAACTCATAAATATAACAATGAAATAAGTTCTGACATATGTCATACAAAAAGTTCTCAACATTCTCATTTAAGTACTCCCGTTAAACGTTTGGGTGATTTGAATTCAACTGAATCTAATTCTCAGTAAGTTGATATTTTATTCAATTAAAGTAATATTTTTAAAGATAATAATGGTAATAATAATAATCTTTTTTATTATTGAATGACATTTGTAAATTATTAATAAAAACTTCAATGAAAAATACTTTTATTATATTCATTTTCTTCTTTGTACCGGTCCCCATTGTGATTATTGTATCAATTTATTATGCTGATGAGAAGGATATAGTTTCAGAGGGATTTTCCCATCGAAAAAAGTTTCTTCTATACATTATGGATGTTATATCTAATTATGCAGACAATTGTCATATATAAAGTTAACCTATTTATCATATTACTTTGGTTTGGTGAAAAAAACAAACATATTAAACCATTGGTATTAGGCACTTGTGTTGACCTTTGTACATCATCTATGCTGGGCAGTGAAATTCTGTTCGTTTTCTCCTGTCCTAGTTGTATATTATTTTATTCAGTGTTTATTTTGCTAACACTTAAAATGATATAATTAAATTATAAATAAATTTTCATAAGGAGGATATTATATCTTCCTAAATAATCACTTATAGACCCATGTACGAAACTATATGGTAAAGGTTATGCTCTAGATGCAATTAAGTTACTTTGCTATTATTTGATCAACATTACAGAGTTCTTATCAGTTGACTTATTCTCTGAGGGAAGTATCTACACCAGTGACTTATATTACATATAAAATATACACTTAGATTATAACAAATCATGATGTTCTGATCAGTCAAGACCTGCTGCACGCTCCGTCCTACTATACGGATGCGAAACATGGCCGTTAAGAGTAGAGGACATTCGTAGGTTACTAGTCTTCGATTATCGGTGTCTCAGAAGCATTGCGCGTGTATCCTGAGACAACCGTATAAGCAATGGTGTCGTTAGGAAACGACTTCAAGGTAGGGATGGCAAATCAACAGCTGAAGTAGTGAAACTTCGTCAGTTTAGGTGGTTAGAACATGTGTTACGAATGCCTAACCACCGACTGCCTTGACGAGCTATGTTTTGTGATGTGGGAGTAGGTTGGAAGAAAGCTAGAGGCGGCCAAACCAAATCATGGCAGAAATGCATGAAGTCACTGACAAGTGGACTGAGTCATGTTGGTAGATGTAGGCTACCTGGTTGGGGTCCGCGAGACGAAAGTCACCGATGGTTAGAGACCTTGAACGACATGGCTCAGAATCGTTTGCAAAGGCAGGGGTGCATCCACTTTTTGTGTTCTCTGGAGTTCTATCCTTCTGAATTCCTCATCATCTCCATCTTTCTCCTTCTAAATTTACCTTACTGAATTATACTTTTTGAATCATATCTTCGCTCCCTAATCTTCTGCATTACAGCAAATACTTCTACAATCACCCTCACTCTTGGATTTGAATTTACAGTTGCGTCTCTGTGCTGAAAGGGCATGGAAACCTGAACTGATGTACTTACGTACGAAGTTCTACGTTGTATCTGTCTGTCAAGACCTGAAATGTAGAATACATTTCTCTGTAATTCAGTATCCAGCATGATTGTATCCTACATTGTCTTTTAGTTTCTTTATTTGATATTTAAAAAGGTACGGTTGCGCTTTGTTATATTTATTGATTTGGTTCAATATCAAAAATTCTTCATCTAAAAACTTGCAAAACACTTATTTTGATTAGCATCAAATGGTACTCATTGGAATTCAAAACCGAAATCTTTTGCGAACTTCGTCAACCGTTATGTTATGAACCGTACCAGGTGTATAATTATAACTGAACCACAATTAATGAAGATTTCAAGTATACTACTTGTTCCTAAGATATGCTAAGTTAACCGATTTTCATTTTCTACGTGTAAGCTACTGTACATGATAAAAAAATTTGCATGCAACAGTTATAGTAGAATATTTTAAAAATAAACTTTTATCTATTCATTCATTTTACTGTTGAACGCTTCCACAAACAACTGTTTTCGAATGAACACAAAACAATACAATATGTTGTTAATATCAAACCGAGTAAACAATGCTAATTCATCCAAAACTTGTTCGTTTTTATAGAAAATAAATCACATTGTTTATTTGTTCATCTATTTTAATTTTAGGAAATATTGTGATTGCTTAGCATATTATAAAGCCACAGTTTCCAATAATTGATTGTAATATAAAAATATTCTGTTTTCATTTTTAATTTTCTTTGTCAAATGTAGAAATTCAGCCAAGCATCATTTTCAGTTGACTAGTATGTGTTTTTTTTCTCAAAATATGCAAGTCTTTTTCTTTAAGTTAATAAATATTTAATATATGAAGTTTCACATTATTCTTATTCCTTTACACTTACTTTTATACCAGTTGAAAAAAAATCTTACATTTCCTTTTTTTAGATTTTCATCTGAATATAACAACTCATCGACTTTAAAGTTGAATCCATATTTTAATGATCGAACAGCATCGATGCGTAAAACATCGCATGCTTTGACTAAATTACTTTCTCAACAAACTCCAATCACTGGTGATGATGAACATATAAAACTATTTCGTCTTTCATTTACTTCACTCATTCCAAATTCATCTTTATCATTTGATAGTAATCATATTTTTGGAACCACATCTACCTTACTAGATAGAAGTAATTTCAAATGGAACTGGTAAGTTTTATTTATTTTCTTTTAGTTTAGTAGTCAACACCTCTACCCTTGTCTTTCTAAACTTATCTCACTGAGTTATACTTGAATAATATCTTCACATCCATTACCAGTCATACTTATACTATCTCTACCATTATAGGATTTGAATTGACAATTGCATCTCTCTGCTAACGTGGTATGGCGACCTGAATTAATGTACTTACGTGCGAAGTTCTACGTTGTAACTGACTGACTGCTATTCTATTTCTCTGTGAGGATAATCTAGTCATTGGTGCAAAAAACTTCCAACAAATAAGCCTCTCGTACAAACTGTGTTCCACCCACTTCAGATTTTTTCAACTGGGTAATATCACTTGACTGCATGCAACTGAAGTTGTATTCTAAAAACGGAATATGTACACCTTACATAAAATTTATATTACCGCCACTTAATAGATTTGGTTGTAGGATAGTAGAGTAGTGATTGGTTTCAGTTTTTTCCGCATTTTCTCAGTTATTCATGCAGCAAAATACTTTGAAAATTTCTATAGAACAATCGTAGATACCATTAAACCTTCAGGACATTTTAAATACATAATTTGCTGCGTAATTGTGATTTCTTATGAATTATTTACCTGCAAAAAGATGTGAACATATATTTAATAATTTTATTTGTTGGGGATGTTAGATCCCCAAAATTCGCTTGATAATGCCGTATTTTGGTTTTCACGTTTCGCCAGCAGGGGCTGATCAAATGACCTTGAGATTTCAATTCCCACCAGGAAAATCAATGGCTGTGATTGGCTGCAGTGTATTTTAGTATGCTATTTTCTTAACTGTCTCAAGGACGTTGTTATGTTGTATAAATAAACGAGAGTTGTATGCTTGATGGTACTGGATTGCTGGGTGTTTGTAGAATATACTTTCTACGCTTACCAAGACTTCTGTTTTACCGTTGGATTCAAGGTAGCCTTCCTGGAAGCTGGTAAAAGTATCGTTCGCGTTTATCGACTAAGGTAACTCGTAATAGCATCAAGCATACTAAGTGACGAACATATCATTATTCTATTAGAGTTTTATCGATTATTCGGCCTTTTGCTTGCCTAATATCTCCATCTTCTTGATCCTTCTACCTTAATAATAATGTGCAGCAATCGTGCAGTCAGTACGTCATCAATCGATCGTCAAGTATCTTCGTGTAGAAGAAAACTCAGCACACATTCATATGTTCCTCGTCATTTTTCTGGTACAATTAGTAGACAATCTTCTGCGTCACAAGATGTAAATACTTTAGACTGGTCTGATTGTAAATTTTACAATCGACAAGCTTTCTTGGCTAATGACAACTCAAAGGGTGAGTCAAATGATTTTCTATCCGGAAGGGAACTATAATTTATTATTCACTTGAAAATATCTAAAAACCTACCTGATTTCAATTTTTTACCATACATGTATTAATTAGTTATGTGAATTAGAAGTTATTCGTTGTTTGTAATCTATGGTTAATTAACTCTATGAACCTCTTAATTATTGAAATTCATTTAATATTCAATATATTGTCAGAGTGTAGAGTTAGATAAATTCCGTCTAAGCAAATGTGAATCAGTCTACCAGTATGTTGATAAAATATATTATTTAGATTAAATATTCTAGTATATTTGATACTATAATTGTCTTATTTTAAAACTGCTCAATAGTGCAATTTTATTGTTTATTCACAGATCAAATCAAATAGTAATTTTGTCACATAGTATAAAATATTCATTACAATAGCAATCTAATTTCAATACTATCATGAAATCAATTGTTTCACCACAAGCTTGTATATGGTGTTGATCACTCTTTTGACACACTTAACTATTCGTTGATCTCAGAAATCATGATAGCAAAGTACTGTTGTTTAAGAATTTTTTTGACTGATAAAGTATGCTAAATTAGATGATTATAGATCCTTTTCCTTGGTATTCAAGTTTTTGATGATATATCAATGAAATCGGCTATAAAATTTAAAGTTGTAGATTAAATTTTTTAATGTTTTTTCTCACAGTTACATAGATATATTGTTAATAAGTAACAATCATAAGCTTTTAATAGACTAGAATTTCATTGTTATGAAGATGTTCTAATCAGTCTGCGGAAGAAAATTCCTTATATCTCTATCAGTAGATAAACAATTAGGAAATTATTATTAAAGTTTCAAATAATTATTTCAGTATTTTTAAAAACCACTAAGTTTAATAGGTCAGTAATCTCTGATTGATATTCCTAGAAAGTAAGCAATTTTTCTCTTTCTTAAATTCACAATAAAACATTACTGACAGTTCGTCTTTTAAACTGTTGTGTATTTTTTTTTGTACTGAACGATTTCATAGAACTGTATTAATAAACAGTACTTTTACAAATTCCAGAATTTTGAAAAAGAAACTAACTTTTTTCGCATAACCACTTGAACAAATAATCTTCCCCGAAAAATCATGAACTTCTTTTATAAGATTAAAAAAGCGATACACAATGCTTAAAAAAATCTTCAAACTGCCTTTAATACTGATAATAGTATTTCACTCAACAAATTGTTAAGTGAGCTCTTGAATGACTTGTGATTGACACGGACCAGTAAGTCCGATTTTAACCTTAGACTTATTCATTTTACAGTTTATAAAGCGGTTCATAATCGTACTAGTTAACCGATTGTTAATGTTTTGTTTTGTTTTTATTCAAATCCAGTAAATTCATTCAAACCGTCTGAAAATGCATCAGTCTGTTCATCTTCATGTTCCTTAACTTCGGAATCCTATCCTAGACCAGTGTCAGCAGACTATGAACCGTTAGATCATACACAATTTTTATTAACTTCAAAAAGTGATCTATCGAATCTTCATGTTTGTGAATTAGATTACAGCGGTGATGAGAAGGATACATCACCTGTATCTGTAATCTCTATCAAACAAAATGTACAGGTATGATGTTAATATTCTTTTTTAATAATTGAAGATATAACTATATTAAACGTGTATTATACTTAAGTGATTTCTGACCTAACTAAACTAAAATGATATCAATTTTTCGTTTGATTGTTTCTGTGATAACTGACATACTATCAACGATTAACAGAATTATAAACAATTTTGATGAATGATCTGATATTGATTAACATGAATTATGTAGTGTATTATCTTATCGTTGTAAACTCTCGTCAAGATTAATAATCTTCTGTCAAGAATAAACCGACAGTGTTACATTTGATAAGATAAATATTGTTTTATTTTATTATCATTAAATCAATAACAAGTTTTGTTAGATTAGTAGATTAATTATAACCTTCGTATGTTAATGGGATATACATATTTGAACGACATTTTTACGAAGACCGTAAAAACAATGTTAGGAAACTATACAGTGGATTAAAAAGTTACTTACAAATCATATCAAGACTCTAGATAATGGTAAACTACAAAGTCATGCTAATGAATATTTGTACAACATATGGTTTAGCTTTAACCAGAAGAAACTTGTACACTGTTCGATTGTTGAATATCAAGGAATAACCCCAAAAAGAGAAGTATTATTTATTCTTACAGACTGAAATGTATTGAACATTTATTAATTTATTTATTAGTCATAATTTTATTACCATCAAATTGTTTGTCCAATAATAATTCACCATTATACATTACTTCATCTTGTTGTGTATTGCTCTCGCAGAATTAATTGCCAGTTGTCAACACTTAACACCTCAACGTCAATCAGTCGGTCGACAACAACAACATCTCTATCTTTCTCTTTCTAAAGTTATCTCACTAAATTATACTTCTCGAATCATATCTTCGAACCCTAATCTTCTCCATTAATGCTAATACTCCCACTATCTCTACCACTATGGGATTTGAACTGACATTTACGTCTCTGTGCTGATGCGATATGGCAACCTGAACTTATGTACTCATGTACGAAGTTCTACTTTGTAACTGACTGACTGACATAGAACTTCGTACGTACATACATCAGTTCAAGGTACCTCAACGTTGGAAAGTACGGTTCTCTTCTAATTACTATCGGGTCGCTGATTAATAAGTTACCTAACTGCATAATAAGAAACACACTAAAAGTGCAATACCCTGTATCTTTTGGTTTAACTTATAAATAGTGACATCGTATTTCTGATACGATACCATTAGCAAATATTTGGTCGCCCTCTAACAAAGCCCCGTTCATAGTTATAGAACTTTATTACAAAATGTATCACTCTCTCAAAAACTTTACGAAGTTAGAAATATATCTAGAATATTTCTCACCAACTTCTATACAATTTTGTTTCAAATTATGCATTATGAATTCCAAACGATTTGTCATATCTTGCTGAATTCCATCATGTCTCAGTAAACATTTTATAATCAATGCGACAGTTTAATACAAGTGAAATGAAAACTGATTAGTTAAAAAAAGACCTAGTTTTGACCAACTAGGACCCAAATAACAACTTTGCAAGTCAGGTACACTTCAACTAATCCTCTGTAAATAAGCGATGTCATATACATTGATTATTTTCTTTCTTAACCAACCTGAAGATAATATTTCGGCTGTTGAAACATAACAACTCACTAAACTGTTATGGTAAACAACTTCAGAATATTTCATGTTTTCTGATGGTACACTTTATTTATTTCGTAAATACACTTCTGTTATTAACAGATAATCTTTAGCCTATTGAACATTTTAGAATTAGTACCTTTCTCTTTATTGATTAGTTTTCATACCTTTTTCACAGACATTAACAAATCAAATACACTCTCCATTTATGTCATCTATTAATCAATTCAATGAGACAACAGAAATCAAGAAACATCATATTTCTACAAAAGAAAATGATTTATCCAGTGAAAAAGAAAACTATCCAACTTCTATTGACAAACTAGAACAATACACTTTGGGAAAGGATAGCCAACAAATAATGATTCCTGTTTGTAAAAATATGACAGAAGAAAGCAACCATAGTGATGATTTTGATGAAAATACTAATATACTCATTGATAATAAAAAAATCAAAGAGATTACCGAATCAAATGATGATATGTATTATCTTGTTAAGTAAGTGGACTGCGTACACTAAATGATTTTTTTTTTGAAATAATCATTAGTATTGAATTCTCAATTTAGTTTTGTTGTGTTTTGTGTTCAAATTACTATTCATATTTTCTTTTGTCAAACAACTACAATCATCCTACATTAATAATTAAAAAAAAATGTAACTCTACATAGTAATTCGTAAAGTGAATAAGCGTACAGTTTATTCTATTAATGTAATCACGTTTGTGTACATTAAAATAGTAATTCTCAAATAAGTCAATGAACATAATTACTACTTCTTATTTTCTTTATCTCTCTTCACTAATTTAAGACAGAAGTATAACCTTATCGATAGAACTCCCCAATGGTTATTAAGCACTTATTGATAGATTTAATCGTAGTAAAAGAATTTGTCACATAAAATTAAGGCGGTTGAATGGTATACCAAATAAAAAATTATATTGAAATAATTGAAAAGTTGAATTCACTAAAAGTTATTTCGAATTAATGTTAAATTCAATTGAGTGGAAACAGCATTGAAATTGATGGATCACCTTATATGTAAATTGTATTTAGGAATTTAGTATTGTCAACAATGTTAGCTCGACACATGCCCCATAATTTTTTATTATCGGGTTTTCTTTTAAGTTTTCATCACGAACTAACATTATCCCCATAACCATTAAGAGCTATAAAGTACAAGACAAATGTTGTTCCTTGTTCTGTGACTCAGTGATTCGCATCAACAACTTCACAAGCAGTCTGACCTAGTAGCCCCAGGGTACGCGGCAGACAGATTGTCATTCCGCTTTTGATTCGGTAACCAGTTACTCATTTTGTGCTTTCTTTAACTCATGATATCATAAGGTCATTGCTAAATAGTGATAACTGCCTCACTCTTTATACAAATGAACTTCATCGACCAGCATTTGCTGCTACAACTCTGCGAACTGTTCTTATTACTCACAGTAAGCGTAGATAAATTTAAGGAACAATTGTCTGGCTTCTCTGTATTTTATTATATTTAATACTGTAAGTTCAAGCTTAGTAACATTTAGTCAAGTCTTACAACTAGACTTTTTATACTTTAATTTACAAGCTTTTCTTGAATGCTATTTTTAACGCTTTAACAATTATTGTGTTTAAACTCTTTTATTAATGAAACATGTTTCCGACTGTTTTCCCAATTATATTGATTCATGCTGTTAAATGCCTAAATATTTACTTCATATACTTATAAGTCTGTACAAACGCTTACTGTTTTTTTCTTGCATCGAACCTCTAGTCATCATAATTCCGAGAGTATGATGCTTTCACAACAATCGCCGTCACATATTCCTGTCGATTATTCAAAGAGTTTTTCAGAAAATTATTATTATAATGATGATGATGATGATGATGATGAAATGCTTATCTTAAAACAAAAAGAGAACAATAATAACAATGACAGAATGGTCACCCAAATAAAACTTAAAAATGGACATGATCAAACAGAAATCGTATCCGTTGATGATATTGCTAGTGATTTAGTGAGTTACATTACTGTTATTATTATTATTATTATTATTATTATTATTATTATGATTCATATGAATTAATTCAGATAATGTTACACGTTTAAGATAGTTAGTAGTATATTTTTTCAAGTGTACTACCCAATAAACCTTCCAACATATCAATAATAATTGATTTTGATACAGGATCGATGACTTTTCATTATTGTGAAACTATGAAATTGACTTTGAAACTTCCGACAGTTTCGCCATATTATTACTTTATTATTATGATTACTACACATTTTGTTCAAATATCACCAGTTTTTTTCCTTACTCTATATTAATCCGTTATTATTAACTTCTTTATTCTTCTCTGTTAATTAGTATAATTCAATACACACAAATCATAGTTCTTTAGCATTAAGTGAAGCAGAAGAAATATCATTGGATACTAAAACAAACTATCCTATTACTACTACATCCATACTAACTGATGACATTGCTCACAGTGAATTGATCGATGATATGGAAAGTGATGTTCCCTCAGATCAATTATACGACAATGTTGCTGATGAAGCCCCAGAAAGTTTAGCTGATGCAATTTCATTAGGTGCCATTTCATTGATCACTGGTTTGTCCGAAGTTGACAATGATGATGATAATGACGATGACAAGAATGATGAAGAAATTAGCTCAAGCAAACATTTATCATATCACAATAGAAAAGGAAAACATTCCAAAAGTCTAACACATCTGTCAAAGTCAAATAATGTCAACAACAATCATAGTAATCCTGATCATCATATAAAATCCGATGAACTATCTATTCCTGAACAATCTGTTCATGATCTTTTCCGTGTTAAATCTCAACAATTATACACAAAGTATCAGAATACTAATTCATCTTCATTATTTATATCATCACATCATTCAATGGATAATGCATCATCGATTCCTTCAGCTTTATTATCATACAAAATGTCTACATCGGAATTCGATGATACTTTACCGACAATGAATAAACAAAAAACTATGGAAGTAAGTTGATTATTTTTTGTCATTACCAGTTTAATTGTTTTAGTTGAAGTACTTTTGATTTAGTTTTTTGTTTGTATGAATAGAAGAAGCGAAATTCATCTTCATCTGTTTCAAATTTCTAGTCTGTGTCAATCAATCAATCAAATCATAAGCAAAATAGAATCTTACACATGTTCATCGGTTCTTGTTGTTACACCGTATTGACCCAGTAAGATGACATTATTTAGACCAATGTTCGAGTAATAGAAATGAAAACATTATCAATAATAGTAGAAAACCAGAAGGTTTTGAGAATAAAGTAAATTTATGGAATAAACTTGTATCATATAGTTTTAAAACAGTATGTAACAGGGGACAAGTAGTGATTATATATATATACGTATCATTGTTATCGTCAGTTGTGTCCTCCAAAGTTTTCAGCTCTTAATGACAATTTGTTGTGTTGCAAACGATTCAGCAAAATCGTACTACTCATTTCCTTTATATATTATTTTTATATCAACTTATCTCGAACTAGCAAGATTTCCTTATCACATGGTCTATGATTGTTACTTGTCATGGTGAAATTTTTGTATTCAACTCTTTTTTAGTTTCTAGTTTCATATTAATAATCTATGCTAAATCGTCACAGTTCATGATACTTGATTTCCATCAGGATTCGTTAACTTTTGATGGCGGATAACTACAGCCTCTTGCATAACCTTTTACAGTTTCACAGATTTTAGGATGGATTCAATTATTCTTAAGATGAATGCATAATATAGTAGTATTTTGGCTTCATCAATGCTAGTCGAAAATTCCACATTTAAAATATTTCAATATTATTTATTTATTGACTGAAACAATGAATAGAAAATTGATACATTGCTGTATTGTTTCACGTGACCTTACTTAGAAACAATACTAAATTTCCTTCGTTAACTGAATACAATTTTAGAAATCTTTCATCATGAAGCTTTTCCAATGACTATGTGGCAGGGACTATATTTGCATGAATTCATGATAGAATATCACAGAATCGAGATGCCTTCAATTATCATAAAAATATTATTCATACAGTTTTGTGTATTTTACTAAAGTGAATGTTTAGCTTGATTTTACACTGTGTATTATTATTATTATTATCTGAATAGGTTCGGCTCACAAACTGTCCTTCATTAACCTTATATTTAATATATTTTCTGTTATTATTGAATAAATTTGTCGTTAAAACTAGAATTCTGATGAATTAATGTTCGGAATAATCGTCTAACACTCAATTAGCATGATTGAATTTGTTGTCTGATACGTTTTGTGCTTCTTGAAATGCTTACATCCACGGGCTAATCACTAATTGTTTTGTGAAAGAAACTTGTTGAAATATTCTTTGCTGAGAACTCCATATTGTTCTGAACATATAATATTATTTTTATTATGCTCGACTATATTTATTCAAATGGTATAGAATCTTTCTAATGTAGAAAACTCCTTTCAATTTTCGTTTTCTTTACAGTTATTGACAATGACTTCAGGATGCTTAGATATTTTCAAAGAAGTCTTACTGACAGAATCTATGTATAATCATGACTTGGAGTTTCTGCTGACAGTAAGTACATAATATTGCAGTATTATTATTAGTAATTATTATGAGTTTTAATGTTTTTACTCTCTTGCATGTAATGATTATATATTCATCATACAAACAAAACCATTTTACCCCCTTATCGTATAACTATCATTACCATATTAAAAACTGACCAAAGTTGACAATGTGAACCTGATGATTATAACGTAATGGTTTAAATTCTAATGTTCATTTTTAAAAACTTAAAGTGATAAGATCCATGTTGCGTAGGATCATAAACACTAGTAAGAGTTTCCAGGTGAGACTATTGGAATTAGGAAGGCAAACATTTACAGCGTTTAACGTTCTTACCACAATGGAGACATGAGATCACTTTTTACTTAGAGTGAAATCCATAGCATCCTTCGTGAGTTTTCATTTTCAATAAACTTTTGTGTGAATTCTGTCATGACAGAAGTTTTATTTTTCTAATTCAGAAAAAGTTAAATGCTTATTCCCATTCTTAAATTTAACGTTTTTCTTTGTATTTCTATAGGCTCCATTAGATACAGCTAATTTGTTCGGTGCAACTTCACTAACTCACTGGTTACAAACTCGTCTATTGCCAATCCTGAAATTGATAACCAATGGACAAACAAATTTTCTTCACCAATTAAAAACGACTGTATCGACATTGAAACGTTTATTATCAAAAGTAAAACTTCTTGGAAAAAATATTTTATTCTTAAAATCAAGTGATGATCATGGGGAACCAGTATCTGAAAGTTTCACAGCTGATTGTGGTGAGTTGTTATGTTGTATTGATCATTTCAAAATCATTTTAAGTTTATTGCTTAATTGAGTAATTCCCAACAGGTTTCAAACTTATCATCTTTATACAGTCTATCATAAGATCAGCTACCTAATTGTACTATCTCCCGTTCCAGAACATACTAAAAAATCTATAAGTAAGCTGAAACGCAAGTGACAAATTTAGTCAGATTAAAAAGTTTGGATTGTTTTAGATTTCTCCATAGTTAGATCGCCATTGAATTGTTGAACTAGATGGCCTTTTCACTCAAGTATGGAACTCATCCATGCTTATCCATGACACTGCAGTCGAAAATCAAAACCAAAACCCTCGGTGCCGTGTACAAACGCCAAAGCTCTAGATCATTGAACCGGAATCTAATGTTGTGCATGTTTAGCTTCAAACAACTTATGATAGTATGAGATCATCTTGCATTACCAATACGATAAAACTCGATTGATCATAATAGGTAATGGATGACGGTTACTAAACATTGTAAATTGATCAAAGTTAGACATGTACATCACTCGAAGCCAGCTTGATTGTCTAGAGATTGGTGGTTTGCGTGTAAAACCAGCTGTCGTGAGTTCCACTCCTATCTGCAGTATTTTTGATGTGCATATAAGGGAGAATTCGTCATCTAACAGTCTGACCTAGATTATATTATGATTCGAATTATGAGTGTTTATATTAGTAAGATTTAGCTACTATATACTTAGATCTTACCACAATACACAAAAATATGATGTGATTTTGTACACATGAAGATTGTTGCTTAACCATAAATAACTTATTATTTCTAGTTCATGAAATTATTGTCACAACCAATAAGATGCATTATACTCTCTGGTGATCATTTATGCATTGTTAGTATCATTAATTTCTTGTACTACTTAGTAAGTAATTCATATTATTCTTTGTCAACTTTAGAATCACCTTTGTATATGAGACATGCGTCGAAAGGTTATTTCAATTCATCTGAATCATCTATATCTCATTTGGCATTCCAATGTAGTAAAAATGAACAATTGTCCAGTTCAGAAATTTCCAATTATAATCTTTCACCATACTTTAAGCATAAACATAAAAAATATGGTTTACATTTAGCAATGAAAAAGTTACATAATCTTAGTTGTGTTACTGATTTACTAATGACTTTATTAGATCAATTACAGGTAAATTTAATTATCAGTCGATTTTTTGTTTGATTGAATTGACTTGTATTATTATTTAATATGTAATTCATTCTCTAATATCACTTGAAAAAGAGAGCTATTAATCATGAATGCCATCCATAACTAGTATTTGTCTTTACTGTGGGAAATATTTATTATAGTTTGTTTAAACTATCAATAGCAGTTGTCTAACTCATTTCTGTTATGCATTCGGTAATTGATGACTAGTTTTCTTCACATCATCCACATAATTAAATTCAGCTTTATCAAAAATTAATCTTATCGATTAGTTTGGTTGTTTCATCATGAACTCATAATGATAAATACCAGTAAATGTTAATACAACACTGTCGATCAAACTGTTCCATTAAAGTACAGCGACTGTTTTTTGGTAAATAATATATTGTTATTCGGGATACATTGGAGTTAATTGACACAAGTCCCATCGTAACATTCTGAAACATTTTTACTGACACTCTAAAGTTTGTCACTTTTTGGAGGAAAATTCTTGTGATAAAATCCTCATATGATCAATTACACGCTAATGGTCGCAACAACAGAAAGTCTTTTATCATAAAGCAACTACTTTAACAATCATATCTGAAGTTGGTTAACCATAGAAAATGAAAGAGTTAGTTGCAGATTTTCATGAACCTACTACTTTTCATAAAAACACAGTAAGAGGAAATTAACAGGCTACAGCTCATAAGAATCTAGACGATAGTATCAATAATGCTAAACTGTCTACTGTAATCCGTGTTTCCTCTGAGACATTCAGGTCTTCATAATCCACTCAGTCACCATAAAGAATGAGTGAGAACAAGCAGCATTGTATGATATTGGTCTTCGCTTTGAATGAATTTATGAGCTGTCGTGTAAGCATGATTTTGCAGTATAGTTCGTTGTAATCATTCCGTATGATGTTGACTATCCTCTAAGGCAAACCATAGTGTCGAAGAAAGCTCCATAATGTTCTCCCATCTAAATTGTCGACTGCTTTATTATAGTCGATGAAGTTGGTGTAGAGTGGTGAGTTCGATTCAGTTGATTGTAGTGTCACGATTCGTTCAGTACATGGTTGATTCTTGAGGAATCGATATTTGAGTTAACTTTATTGCAATACAAAGCTACTGTTGTCTCTTTCCTTAAAAATAACTCTGATAATAGTCCAGTCAGTATATAGGTGTTTATTGTCAATGCAGCACAATTACTCATTACTGGTTTGGAAAAAGTATGCTAAACTGGTAAACCTTGTTTACGTAAGTAATTTTTGATAACTGAAAAATCTGCTCTTATCATAGACATTTTTGTGCTGCTGTATGTAGTTATATCACTGATAAGTTACTGTTATTTCGTTCCATTACTTCTTCGCTATCATATGATTGACTAATATAATTAGTTTTCGCTTATCTTTTTACCTTCCTTGGTTGCATATATTGTTGACTGTTTGTTGATGTTTTCATCGCCTTAACAATTTTTTTTTAAAATTTGATTCAAATCTACGTGAACACACACATACATTGATCAATTCAGATTAATTTAAAGCAGTCTTTGAATTATTATCACGTATAAATGTGTTTGTTCAATTGGAACTAATGACCGAATCATAATTATATGACCATAAATATTATCATATTGTTAACCCTGTTTTTTTTTCTAGTTTTATGAAATTTGGATTCAAAATTCAGCTGATTTACTCACAGAATTATGGTTATTAGCATTTGTTGATATTCTGTCATCTTATTTCAATGTCAATGAACAGAATGCTAATGATTGTTTAAATAACAACAATTCCGTCAATATTGATAATGATAAGAATGTTACGCATATTCAATCACTTATTCGTAAATATTTACATTCGAATAAAACTAATAATAATAATAAATTGAAAGATAAGAATTTAAAAACATCTTCAGTAATCATACGAAAAGTATTATACAATTTAGAAAGTCGTTCATCTTCTATTGGTTCCTTATGGTATTATTTATTATTGCCTTGTCGACGATTTCGAAGTTATTGCAGCTTGCTACAATCTTTAATGAATCAAATATCAACTCATTCAACTTCAGTTTTATGTAAAGGTAAAATATTTTTACATTTTAATTGTGAATTGTGACATGAACAGCTAGTGTGTGTAAAATAGATATTATTTCTGCACTGACGTCTGATTATTCATTATTTGGTATCAGTTTTTTTTTCAATTTTTAGATGAAAATTGAACATATTAGGAGCTGTAAATTGATTAAGAGGTACATGAGGTATTTGTTTCAACAATCTGTCTACTATACAAAAGTAATAGCCTTGAATGTTGTTGATATTTTGTCATAAAGTTTATTGGCATTTAGATACGATCACCAATATAATCAAAAATAAACTAGAGATATAATCTAGTTAGGTCATTTTGAAATTTTTTTAACCTTGAACGAATTAAATGGGCTATATAATACACGAAATACTTTTTTCATATTACACACGATCAGGGCAAGTAAGTCTAAGTCGGGTGTGAAGAGGATATCTGCTCTATGTTACAGTGAGTGCCATTTCTGAGTGATTAGAACACTTGACAACTTTCTAGAACCTAATTCATCGTAAAGTAACTGATTTAGTTAAAGTATAAACAAAAACAAGACCGCATCTGCTTTTATATTTTCAATCATCATAGAAGATCATTGATAACTTTTACTTTATCAATTAGTTATCAAATACATTTTTCCACATCACTGATTATCTGATGCTTATCCAATTTTTCCCACTGTTTTCAATTACTTTACTCTTCTTTTCATTTATAGCAGTTTTAAATCATTATCTACTATCAAATCAATCTTTAAGTAATACATTAGATCAAGCTGAAAGAATTGCATTAACACTGCAATTATCCATCATAATCTTCCCTTTGGGGAATTTTTTGTTTACTTCAACTAAGCATATTAATAATGTAAATGTAGAAAATGATAAATACTCGTCTTATCACAACATCACTCATCATCATCATCATCATGAACAAATGCATGGAAATGACTTTACGTCTATTGATTCAATGACAATTTCATCTTTTCTACAGTCTTCTATAACAACTTATCCACTAGTTCATTTCGGTTGGTTAAATAAATATTCACGACGTGGATTTCAGCCTAGATTAGTTTTTCTATTTACAGATCGTTTAATCTATACTAGTCGAATACGTGGTGTATCTGGTTTATACTTAAAAGTAAGATTAAATTTTTTTTAAATCATTCTATTAACTCTTTTTATATATCATTTTTATTGGTTTATGAAATTAACAATATGTGAGATTTTAAATGGTTGCTTTTTTAAAAAAATCGTTCCAATCATGTGTCATTATGTCTAACAGCAGTAACTCCTAGCACTTTTCTTAATAATAATAATAATATTGAATGAATTGGTTATTATACACAATAAACAATACCTCATTATGAAATGATCAATATTTAGAACTGATGAAACTGACTAAATAAGTGATCTGTGGTGCCTTTTATATAAACTCTTTTACAGTTCTCATTCTATATGAATAATTTTAGTTTACAATGTGTCATCCGAATAAGATTAAATTATTGACTTTTAATACTTTTGTTCGGGAAATATAGATTTTTTTTGAGTAAATAAATGTAACCACATAATTTGACCTATAAATAGCCTGTCGTCATAAAGCAACTTAGGTCAGAAGCACATCGATGCGGTGTGATCACAAAACACTTAACAACATGATATTAGTGACTATTAAGCTATCAACCAGTTCAATTATCTCATTTACTGTCTGGATAGTTTAATATTATGAGAAATACCAGTTCCCTTAAGATTGCGCATTGCTAGCGAATACTACTCAAATTTTCTTTTTTTTCCAACTTTTATATCACAATTAACTGTGTATAATATTTATTTCTAGTAAATAATAAATTGATGTGTTTATTCATATAATCGATACAGTTTAGTTCGTTATCCTAATCCTCTTCTGTATAATTAGAATGATAATGGAATTTTTTAAAAGACCTGTAGTGTGAATAGGTTGAATGTTGAAAGTCTCTAATTTATTTAAAGATTCCCATTGTGAAAATGATTATTTGAAGTCTATTCATCCACCTTTGACCTACTATCGATAAAACTTTAGTCATCATGCTTTATAATTTTCTTACTACAATCAGTACACCTGTCTTCCTACTATCCACTTGTACTTTTGCCTATTATATGTAGTGACGTAATCTTTTTCATTTCATTGTGATTATGACTTGATTGGTTTAACATTTTCATATAAATATTCATGTATATTAGAGTAAAGCCTGATGACGATCTAATCGAAAACAATATTGTTCGCTTATATGTGTTGTTCTAATTTATTTGTAACTATGGTGTCAATTTATAAAAGTTACCTATATAGATGTAGGTTTGAAAATTTTGAAACTAAAAGACAAAACACACAACTGTTCTTGTGTGATAATTACACTTGCAACGGAAAAACTACTCTCAATTAATTTTTGGTGCTTGTAAAACTAGAGCAGTTAGTTGTAGTTTATTTTGTCAATTTTTTGGTTGATTTTGTCTTTATGTTAAATTGTTTTCTTTTTTGCTTTGAAGTTTGCATAATAAGCATTCTTGTACTGCTAAAGTGGTCGATGAAAAGATCACTTTTTTGCTCTATTAAGTAGTTTATAGTAATATTGTTGTTTTCCGCTCCATAATGCACGATTTACTTATGGTTGAATCAACCATGATATTCATTTTAGGAATTCAACTGGTTCATGATGAAAATTGGCATCAGCTAAATTGAATATTCACTGAATTATTGCTTTAGGAAAAATTATTATGTAATCCGTCCATATCATAACAGAGAAACTTTCATTTAAACATGTCTAAAAATACATTTGTAGATTCTGTCCCAAATATTGGATTTAATTAATTAATTAAAGTGTTTAAGTTTTTTCTATAGAATACTTTTCTCTTATTGTTTGCAATTAACTTAAATGAAATTTATCTAAACTAGTTTGAACGCATCTCTTTTCATTTTAATCAATCCTATTTTAACATTAGTATTTATAACACTAATAATATATATATATATATATATATATATATATATATATATTTGTGTTGTTGTAACACCAATAAATTAGATTTGTTTGGTAAAAACATGTCTTGTCATATTTAGTCCATTCTTTAATTTAAATAAAGACTGCCACAAACCTTTATAGTGTTGACTTAACTGACGATCAAATTTATGAAAAAGAAGAATGTGAAATGATTGTGAAGATGAATGCCAAGATCAACTCTGTTGCTGGTCGCACCCATAAACTACACATGTCTTTTGGTCATTAAATGTTTTTCACATAATTGACCATGTAATTAGTCCAATCAGATTTGTCATATTTTGGGTATTTTTACTTTAAACCTTTATCTATGCGTAGGAAATTGTATTATGTTGCTTAATTACGCTGAGACAATATATTTGAACATTAACTATGATAAATGTAAGCTTTTTTTGGTTTTTTTGTTCATTTTTAAATTATATTTTAGGTGCATACTATCATATCACTTTCAAATATTATACTTGAGAAAAATATCCTACATGAAAATCAAACTAACAATGATCAAGTGTCTGATTCAACCTTCTCAAAATTTGGTTTAGTAGTAACATATTCAAGTCGTTCACCAATTCATAATTTATCAGATGTATCAAATTCTTGTCCAGTTAAACACAATACTGCTACATCTAATAGTTGTCAAGTTTCAAAAATAAAGTCTCAATCTCGTTATAGATTGCGAAAACATCGTAAACGCTTCATATTTGGAGTTCAAGACGAATTGGATTATGAAACTTGGATTAATAAAATTTCTGAACTATTGGTAAATAATACAACAAATGCAACTACTTCTGTTTCTCATCCGATTGGAAATGCGATTAACGACGCCTGTCTACCATCTTCTAAATATGCTGGTTTGTTGTACATTCATCTAAAATAAGAAATATATATTGTTATTAAATTATTATCCATATACTTAATATCTTGATATTGTTGTCATCAATGTTTCATTTCACGATTACCTAAAACATTCAAGTTCTTTTGGTTATAAAACTTGTGATTAGTTTTATCATATTTCATGATTGAACAGAGAAAAAGATGTTTTGCCAGTGAATACTCAACTGTGTACACCTGTAACTAAATAAACAACCGATTCACTAAGCCGTCAGTCAATTATAAGTTAGAAAATGAAGTTCATTTTGCTTTGTAACACTATCACTTTGGTTAGGATGTTCATAAGACTGATTACTCTTCAAATTACTAGTTTGATTCACTTAACTAAATGAATAGCTTGAAGTGTTCACCCATCATTTTAACTTTTGAAAACTTGTCAGTAGTACAATTATATCTCCAAGAGCTTTAAAATACTCTTTGTCTTCGTAGGTTAGCCTCATTGTTTTCTAAATACCTCATTCTATTCCTGATTTTTTTTTCAATGTTCAGGTAAATAGCAGTCAGTAGTTATAGACATTTGGCATTGACTTATCCACTCAGTGCATTCACAAGACAACAAAGCTTGTTATAGTGAAACCTTTTGAATCTAACTGAAAAGTACTAGCTGACTATAAATTTAAATATTAACCAATGGAAATGCTAGATATTCTTACAATCATTAAACGATTACTTGTACACATATTTTACCATGTGTACATCCCTTATTCATGAAATTTTATTTCGGTTTTTTGACCACTTACAAGCAAGAAGTTTATCTTGGGGCACAGTTTTGGAGGTTTGCGTTTTTACACATTCACAATAATGATTGATTGATGATTTCAAATGTGTAAAGAAGTTTATCATTTTCAACTTCGATCACCATCAAAAAAATTATTCATTTATCCTTATATTTACTTTTTAATTCAGGTGTTACTCGTCTACACGATTCCTCTACTTCAAAGTTGATTTTTACAGAAATTACACAGCGATGTTTAGCTGGTAGCACTACTAATCAATGTCAGTCAGAATCTGTTGATATTCAACATAACACTGAAACGTCCACATCTTTAATGCCTACATTTCAAAATGTTTTGGTTGGATATTGTTGGCGAAAACAAACATCTTTGTCATCCATTAAACTATTGAATACAATCGATGTAGGTTCTGTTATTATCTTCTTTTTTCAAAGATCGTATATGAATGTTTTATTTCATGTGTTATGGGCAACTAAGTGTGTCATTTTAGCCTTTTTCTACGGAGCAACTATCATTTTATATTTATGAACGTTTTTTTTATCCACTAAGAGTAGTGAAAATATATTACCATCTTCATGGTCTTTCTTCGTTTGTGATAATAAACATTATCTTTTATTTAAAAAAATCTATCGCTAAATATGTAACTAATGTCGTAGATGCTCCTTACAAAATCCCTATAGTTGAAATTGTATTAAACATTCAGCTATCTCGATCACATCGACCTAGCACTCAGGTTACTCGGAGTTGCTCACTATGCCATCTTTAAATTTATCATGAATAATATTGTAGAAATGGTTTGGAATAAGTATTTGATAAATTTGTATTTATGTTTCCCAAAGAAACCTTTCAACTGAGAGTACGTGAATGATATGTTTCACTGTGATATATTTGGGCTATCCTAATTTCGATTGATTGATATTCACTGCCTGTATCTTTTACATACACTTTCCACCACTGAAGTGTAAATTACTTCTATAAGATAACATATAACCCAAGTTCACAATCATTATCAGTTACCTTAACAGCTCGTATATGGTTCTGCTAGTGAATACAAACGTTCTGATACAATGACTCGGTTTGATACACTTATGACTGTTATATCTAGATATAGAAAAAACAATTCATTCTGGTCTTATTCCTTCGACTACTATGGTAATTTAATCATATAATTTTGAGTATGTGTAACTTCGGTGCAAGTAGTTCGTCTCACTATTCGTTAATCCTGATTCCGACAAACTTATTATAATCCAATACCTTGTGGGTTTGGTCATTTTCAGTCAGTCAGTCAGTCAGTCGTCAGTCAGTCATTTTCACTTATCAATCAATGTAAACCCTGTCAAAATTCAGAATACTACGTTTGAGCATAAATAGGTCTTTTTATCTTAAAATATCAGATTCTGTGTCTTGGAAGTATTCCACTCATATCATTCCGATGGTTTCTAGGCTACACATCTTTTAACACGCAGGCTAATCAGAAGAAGTGGAAAATTGATTTATTTATATACAGTAACTGCATGAAACAAAGGATAGTCACGTTGGATGATCTCTTTAAACATACTGATTCCCGGAGATTACTCAACTCAGTGGGTTAAAGTGTTTTTAGGTGTGAATCGGAATAAAAATCAACGGTAATCCTGTGACAACAAATACTTTCGATATGAGTAAACTTTATCGTGGTTGCATGGTTATTTGAATAATGTTCTTTACTACCATCGTTATATGATATTTCTTCTTTTCAGCTTCATTTTATTACCATTATGTTATTCCATTTCATTCTTTCCAAATGTGTCAAACTCTTGTGTTGTCAGTCATTCAACTACAAAGTAGAACTTGGTACGTACGTACATCAGTTCCAGTTGCCATACCATATTAGTACAGAGATGCGATTGTCAATTCGAATCACATAGCAGTAGAGGTAGTAGAAGTATCAGCGCTAATCGAAAAGATTAGGGAACGATGATATGATTCGAAAAGTGTTTCCCAATCAAATAAAATTGAAAAGAGAAAGAAAGGTCATGAGCTCATACGGGAAGACAAAGAATGAATGCGCCAGAGCTATTCCAAACGATTTTGAGCCATCTCATTCAGTAGATAACCATCATTTAATATCGTCTTGCGGACTCCAACCAGGTGGTCTACACCTATTAACATAGCTCAGTCCACTTGTTAGTGACTTCATGGATTTATGCCTTGTTTTGGTTCGGCTGCCCCTAACCTTCTTCCAGCCTACCCCTACGCCACAAAACATTGCTCGTCGAGGTAGTCGGTGGTTAGGCGTTCGTAACACATGTACCAAACACCTCAACCGATGAGGTTTCAATACTTCGTCAATTGCTCTTCCATTCTTAGTACCTGTTTCCTAACAACAGCATTGCTTACTCGATAGTTCCAGGATATGCGAGCAATGCTTCGTAGACACCTATGATCGAAAACCAGTTGCCGTGTAATAAGATGTTTTACCTCATGTCTAAAGTTGCGTGTGCCAGAAATATGTGATTTTCTGAGCATAGTTGCAGCAGACAGTCTCCATTATCTGGTCGATGAGGCGTGATACCATTAAATCCACCCATGTGTCTTTCGATTTCTCATTAAAACCGCTAACCACTATTATTACATCAAAACACTTAAGTTCTTAAAGAAGGTTAAAAAACTTTCTTTAAAATTCATCTTTTACTTCATCTGAGCTGTAGGTAATGAGAGCATATACAGAGTTAAAGAAAAGTTAACAGCGAATGTCTGTCTTTCTGAACTCTTATAATTCCGTTTGGTCGGACAGGGCTCAGACGACTGTGTACTGGAATACATTATAGGGGAACTGGTTCTGCTTGTGAACTCATTGCTATCCCCGCACTAGCGAGGCCATGGTTCGTAGCAGCGGAGTCTCCAGATACACGAAGGATCAATGACACCGGGTCTTTACGTTGAAAGTTGAGGTCAAATGAACGGTTCTACTGGGATCCTGTATGTGCGTTTTGGAGACTCAGCATACATTGATGGCGCAAGATTCTAAAGTCGTAGCTAAGTAAACCTGTTTTCTTATTTGTCACAAGGTCCTAACACTAAAGACTCCAGCATTTAGTTTAGAGCGGGATTTCAGGAGACCAGGAATAACGTTTTGTGTACTCCAATTGTTTGCATCGGCGGCGCGAACCGATAAAAGAACGTGAAAAGGGTTAGTCTTGGAGATAAGAGAGATACGAGGAGGTGTTGTAAGAACTTGATTGTGAGTAGCTCGGTCTCGTGTGCTGTTACGGGCATGAGGGCGGATATCACTTCTTGGCCACCCATACAGTAGAAGGGTATTTCTTCAGGGACCTAAAAGTTAATTCGTGTTAGCGTTGGTCTTAGTAACCTAGGAGTGTGACCGCAGAGCCTAAGGGTTGACTGCTTGAGGTCGGTCACGCATGTCATTTTTATGCGAAATTTTCGAAGTGTTGGTACCGCATTTCAGAGGGTCCACCGTCAGAGACGGAAATTCGTACAGTAAAGTGAAATGAAATTTCAAGAGTCGACCTTTTCTGTTCCCTTCCTTACGTTGTGAGAAGGCATCATCGCTGCAGATGCCCGTTGTCCAAGGGAAACATCTTACTGCTATAACACCCCTCTACAATCAAAAGTACGACTTCGCCCTCAGACTTCGATTTGCTACTTTTAGTGTTACTATTGTCCAGTCGACCTGCTTGGCATGGTAGGACCTAAAGGAACATATGTCCCAGCCAAAATAGCTCTGTTGGGTCATCACGATAGGCAAGCTCGACCACCACATCTAGGTAGCAGCCACGGTCGCTCAAACTTTCATACCATGGTACTCGCATCTTTTTATGCGAAAAATTTTAATTAATAGTTTGTATTTTTTCTTAATTCATTGTGTATTCATCAAAAATGAAACTTAACCTAAATACTGATGGAAATGAGACTTTTATAATTTTCTGTGATTTTCATCAGATATTCCAAGGATGATATTATTGACAGAATGCATATTCTGTACAACTATACAATTTCCTTGATATTAATCTATCAAACTAATTCTATAATTTTAAAAATATCATGCAAAAGTCTCATTTTAGTTGACTGTGAACATTCACAACAAAATTCTAGTATTTATCGAAACAAAAAGCAAGACTATTTATCAACCCATATGTTTGTATGTGGTGTTCATTTCAACTTTTTTTAGACTTAAACAATATGCAACACCAGTTACGTCTAAATGAATTGAATTTTCATGTAGTCGTAATAGAAAGTATAATTAATTAACTACAAACAGAATTTCTTCAAGTTTATATAATAAGACTTTCTAATGTATACATATATTATAATAAAATATACAGAAATTTATGTACTTAAATAAAAATCGCTGAATTGTTTTGAACCAAATTTAACTAGTTGTGTTTTTAAGTTACTTAAAGAAAAGATGTTGAACGCGAAAAGATTTTGTTTCTTTAGAGATTGCTTTGTTTTTCAATGTGTTTCCGTTTTTTCTTGTTTGGTAGTAATTCTATCTAACATTCTCTTGTTTCTTTTTTCTCTTATCAAATATTATAACTTTGTTTGATCTAGTGGTAGATAAGAAAACGAAACGATAATAATCTTTCTCATCAGTTGAATTTCTTTTCACTTGATATTATAGAGTGGAATTTTTATCTAGTACCATTTATAGTGTATTTATCCGATGCATAGATTAAATAAAATTGCAGGTGAATGCTGTTTTTATTTTGAATAATAATAACAATAATAATGATAATAATAATACACAATCAGGTTTATTAAGTCTGTAATTAAATCAAACCTCTCTTTTGATCAGTATGTATTTTTCTGGTTTTATAAAGATGTTCCAAAATTTAGAAAAAATAAATAGGAAAAACAATTATTCATTGAATGCTATTTAATTATCGACTTTTGTAGTTTCTTTTCACTATTCTATTTCGTTAAGAGCCAAAAAGCACTAGACATCTAGTTCATCCTTCTATGGGACGTTTGAATGGTAATTCTATACGATCTCACCAGCGATTAGCCCCACCATAATTGTCAGGGCTTGTGAAATGAGCCTAACCTTTGCGATTGCAGTTAGTTTAAGATATTACACGACTATCATCTATTGCACGGATGATTGTTATTGAATGTTTAACACGTTTAAACTTATGCTAGTCACAGCTTTTCGATTTATTGTCTTTTTTTGCGAAGGGTTTTTCAAAGTTAACTGACTTCATAATGAAAAGTTCTACTTCAGTAATTTCTTTCTTTTCGATTTCTTTTTTTTTTAAAAAAATTTTAGAATGAAATGTTTGGTTATTTATTTCGTCTGTCTAAACGTGGTTCAAGAAGTAGGCAAAAATTATGGACTGTTTTATCAGATATGTGTTTAAAATTTTATAACACATATCATCATCGTAAATTATTAGCACGTTTATGGTTATCAATAAATAAGTGTACGGTTGAATTAATTCTATCAAATAATTTATTACCATTTGATCAATGTTCCACTGGATTCGAGAATATTGAACATGATCAACACCGACAACATCAAAAACATCGACATTACTGTGTACTATCCAATGATATTATTAAAATCTCTGTCAACTCTAAAGATTATTATTTTCAAGCTGAAAGTACTTACCTATTGAAAAGGTAATTTGTTTATTGGAACTGTTCATTTTTTTCTATATCGTGTTTATGAATTCATGTCTGTATCAGCCTGTGTAAATTTTCAATTTTTTATAACTATATTTTCTTATAAGGATAGGTGATGATTAACTTAGTGTCGAGTCTTTTGAATTTTCTCTGCTTATCCACAATATAACATGTTAGTTCGATTCTGGTTGTTACAGCAAAATTTCACATAATTCTATAACCTTCTACTTAAATTGTGGGAAATAGTTCTGGTTTATCAATTATTTCTTCACTGTTTAGACAATTTTTGCGTTACAGATATGTAAATTTTCATTTTTTTTTTTTAAATTTTTTAGTTGATAGAATGAGAGGTTTCTTAAAAAAACTATTACTATTTGAAAAATGATTATTTTGTTGTAAATTAATTCATTTGTCGACGAAAGGCATGAAACAATCAGAATCGACTAAATTACTCTTAACATTTCCGCTAGAAATCCATAAATCAACAAATTTTGTCTTATTTTCAATAAAACAGATCATATTACCAATGTTATGCTCGTCAATTGATATGCTTGATTGCTATGACGAGTTCACCTTAGTCGGTAAACGAGAGCGAAGACATAAAACCCATTAATACTATAGGCTACTTTAATCAAAGCGTCCCAAGCCCCCACTAACTGTATCAAAAATCTTTGATATGAAGTAGAAAGTGTATTCTGCTACAAGCACCCAGAACATATGAGGTTTTGTACAGAAGAAAAAGAATAAAACTTTGCAGACAATGCATATTTATACAGTTAGGTCGACCGTGAATACTAACAACATTTAAAAGTCTATGGACTTGATTAGTTTAGGACGACATAAAATATTGACTAACAGAATTAGACTCACAAAATAATTTCTTTAGGATATTTGATGAGTAATATCCTAACAGTCAATAAGGTTCATAACCATGCAAAAAGTAACCAGAAACAATATGGGTATTTTAAAAAGTGTTTTCTCATCCTTATATAGGGTTCCATAAAACCGATATTGTTTATTCATATTTACGAACTTATGTGGTTGTTTTAATTTACAAAAAGAAAAGCTTTATATGACTTAAGTATATTCGCTGTTTATATATATATTCTACATATTCTTTTGTAAAATTACTATTTCTTTTCTAAAGACTATTGGTTTATAATAGTTTATTTTAGATTGGCTGGCAGTGAACTAAAATGCATCGCTGTTTTTATAAACTACTACTGTCAAACAATATCTGTCAATTACCAGTTATTCATTAACATACTGTCATAGTTATCACTTTGAATTTTTCCAGCCAGCATATTATATAGCGCTTTACTGATGTCAAGTTTTACAGGCAGCCTGCTTGAATATCCAGGCTTTTCCTACCATTAAAATATTTCAACAAATTACCTCTTTTTGTTTTTTTTTCAACACATCATTTTTATGTTTCCTAGTCGCATAATCCATTCAGGTGCGTATATTAAATGTTTACGAGCTATTGCTTTTTAAAGTTAGAAAAAGTACAAACTGAGACATTGCTGTAACTGGCAATCTGCTGTGAAAAGAATGAATGTTAATGAGATGTCGATGCCTGAACTGCTGACTTCCAAGTGCCAATCATTAATTGTTTTGTGAAGGAAACTTATTGAAATATGTTGTGCTGAGAATTCCATATCGTACTAACTATATAATATTATTATTATTATTAAATAGAAAAGCTTGAGATTCAAATTCACATTGCAATTTATATTATGTTATTGATCATATTGGTTTGTTTTGACGGTAAAATTATATCAATCAATTATAAATCTCGTTTTAGAAATCTTGCTATGATACTGTATGTGTTTTCTCCGCTGAGAATTTAAGTTTCAATTCAAATAATATGTTATCATTAACATATTTTTTTACGAAATAGTCAAAATCTGTGATTATTTATTTATAACTAACTGGTAACTTAACCTGGATTCTTTAATTAAATATGATAGGCAATAATAGTTTTTATACAAAATAGAATAATTGTACAAATAGTGCACAAAAAAAACATTTCAAATAGTATTGGAATAAGCTAGAATTTCTCAGCAATAAATACTTTTCACTTTTTTTTTACAAGTTACAAAGTTTCTTTGATCAGTAGAATTATTAGTGAAAGAACTCATAACAGCTAGTGATTAGTTTTTGATTAATTTCCATTTCCTATCGTTCATTTTTTCTCATGGTTATGCAGTTATCAAGAAGAAGAAGAAGAAAGTGTTAGGAAGGAGCAAATACATAATTCAGTAATATTTGTTGATTAAAGTAATTTGTTTATAAGATATTGCAATTGACTAAAATATGTCAAATACTAACGAGTTACTCCAGCTTAGTCAAATCTGACTGATCATTGGCTACCAGATATAACAATATAACTCAGTGTACTGAGATAATTAGTTCTTGATCAGTTATGAATTTACTACTGTAGTCTTACCATCATCCTTTCACCAGTCACTTTGCAGTCATAACAAGTTGCAAGTTCAAATTTTGCTGTAGTAGTTTTGTTCAAATATAAAAATTTCATTTCTTGACTTTTTTTCAAATATTTATTATATATTGAATTTATGTACTTTTTGTGAATGCTGTAAACTTAAATTATTTTTGTACTGTCTTTCAGATGGTTCAATGCAATTTCGAACACATTAACATGTTCTACAATTAGACGAAATTCCATTCCATCTACATTGACAGATGATCATCATAATTTAATGCTTTTCAATCATTCATTATTATCATCAACTAAATCAACCACATCCTTCCTATCAACATCTAATGCTAAATTAATATTCACTTGTAAATCAAATTGTTCTGATCACATTTGAAAATTAAATAAATAAGTAAATTTCTTATTCTAAAATTCATGATTTACTAACTGTTATTCAACTATCTATCTACCTCATTGAAATAAATTGAGATTTGATAACTTGTTTTGTATTCCTAATTACACATTCACCCACACACACAAACACACATTGTAAACACCCCCTGTGAATTCATTCTATCGACTGATGATCATGATCAGTGGTTTGTTTTTCTTTTGTATTTTCTGTTTGTTTGTTTTTTCTATTGTAAAGTAAACTTCAACTTAACCACCTTTTTTCACTTTTATTTCACAATGATGAATTGTTTGTTTTTTTTAATTTTATCTAATAGTCTGATAATAAATATTTTATTTCGTTATGGACTAGTTAATGCATTCACTTAATGTATAACAAATATATTATACTTTTAGTAAAATAATTTTTTCTTAGAAAAATATACATATATTGTAGTTTCTATTTCCTACATTATATTATTCGTTGTCTCGTGTATATGTGTTGTTATCATTATTTTGACAACTTGATTGGATGAATGGATGTACATTATTTATGATAAATATTGAATATTTTACACTGATATATGCATACTTTAAGACACAATTCGTTAACCTTTCAGCTTTTTATTTTTTCTGTTCAAAATATACTATCTGGTATATTGAATGATTCTAGTTTCTATTTATCAACACTACAGTCATAAATTTTTCTTTTGGGATTAAAATTGTATAGTATGTCCAAGATGTGCTCCTGAATAGATGTTACAGACAAAGCATTGTATACTTTCTCAATATGAATCTTCAATACAAAAAGTCTAATAGTTCGTTTTGTGTTTCATTTTCACTCTTGCTCAAGGAGGATGTACTACACGAGATTAAACAGAACATTGACACAGACTAAGTTATCTAAACATGTACCACTGAAACCCGTAAAAGACGCAACTCTTTTTTTAATGGTATTTGTAACATCACCTTACATGTATAGTGATGAAGAGATTAATATTTGTTGCATCTCCTGCTCATCAGTAATCTAATCACCGTACAGTGTTGCTTTGAAAGCCAATGGCTTTTATACAAACTATGTATGAAAAAATTAATGCGTTCTTTCTACTAATGCTCGACAGGTTCTCTGGATTGTATCAAATATTGGCACCAATTTCCATGCATGACCAACAATGTCACACATCACATAACGACTACAGGACCTTTGTATTGTACGGAGAGTGCCAACAAGCACCTTAAAAGGCAAGAATGGCTAAACGTGACTCCAACCATATAATAGATATAGGAACCGTTCGACCGTCAAGCATCCCATGAGCTTACCCTTTACTTATAACATCAAAAAGACAGCATTTATTGACGATTTGATCGGTAAATGATACTCCATGGCTACTCGTCTTACATCTACGATTTGACAGCAACCCACTAGTATCGCAGTTGACGCATCCGAATCGGCAATCAGAATAGTTATACAAAAACACTTTCAAACCTTGAAATTCCCTACGGGCTGCATCGTGACAGTGAGTCAGGGCATAGTACTATCGGTGAGGAATTCGCAACTATTTATTATCATGTACGACACTTTCAACGCCCAGCGGAAGGCCAAGAGTTTGTCTTATTCACTGACAATAAAACTTTAACTTCTTTACTTAGTTTGTCCTCCAACATTTGCTCTTCTCGAGAGTCTCGATAACAGGAATACATACCGAATTTTACTTTACATATACTACAGATTTTTAGTGTTAACAAAATAGTTTCAGATGCCTTATCTTGTATAACTTTTCTGACCCATTTTCAAAAGCATGTCTTCTAACTGACCCATCAACAAAAGGGAAAAATCAGTATTCAGCAGAAGTCATCATAGGCAACTTTCAAACTACAACTCTAAAAGTTTGGGGATAAGCACAAAAACTTTACTTTGCAAAACAGCTGTGTGTAGGGATCGTCGATTTCTGTCATAACATTAACGATGCAATGACTTCAAGCAGGTAACAGGACGATTTTTATGGTCGGGTATGAACAAAAATGTGAAGTGAGCACACTCCTGTATCAGCTGTCAGAAATCTGAAGTGATAAGTCACAATAAATGTGCCCTAGGCACTTTCTCAGTTACTGGCGTTTGCCTTAACAACGTTCATCTGAAGTTGATAAAATCTTCACCCGGGGAAAACGGATAATCTTATCTTTCAATACGGATGGATCGTTTCCCACAATGGTCACAAGCAGTACATATCAAGGACATTGATCCTGAGACATTGGCCTGTAACTTCGTCAAAAATTGATAGAAAACTTCAGCTGCTGACTGTGGAAGCCAATCGAAAATGGAAATTTCTGGTGTCTTACTGTACACCTAATTATCATACGATTTCAAGCTGCGGTTAACCATCCATAAACTAACGAATGGTAGAACGCTTTTATTGACAGTTGAGAACCTCGATTTAAAATGTAGACGTTACTCAGTCAGCAACAACGTAGAACTTCGTACGTACGTACATCAGTTCAAGTTGCCAAACCACAATAGCACAGAGACGCAATTGTAAATTCAAATCCCATAGTTGAAGAGGAAGTAGAAGTGTTAGCAGTAATCGGAAATTTCAGGGTTCGACGATATTATTCAAGAAGTAAAACCTAGTGGAGTAAACTTAAAAGAAGAAGATAAGGGTGATGAGGAATTCAGAAGGTTACGATTTGAGAGAACACAAAGAATGAATGCATTCGCGCCATTGTAAATGGTTTTGAGCCATGTCATTCAGGGTCGCTAACCATTGATTACTATAATCTCGCGAGACCCAACCACGTAGTCGACACCTACCGACATGACTCAGTCCAGTTAGCAGTGACTCCATGGATTTCTGTCACCTTTTGGTCTGGCCGCCCCTAACTTTCTTCCAACCTATTCCTGTATCGCAAAACATAGCTCGATGAGGCGGTCGATGGTTAGGCATACGTAACACATGTCCCGACCACCTCTACTGAAAAAGTTTCATTACTTCATCTATTGACCTGCCATTCTTACCTAGCACCCGTTCCCTAACTATAGCACTGCTCACTCGATTGTCACAGGATACAATAGAAATGCTTCAGGGGCACCCATAATCGAAAGCCAGCAACTTATGGCCATGTTTCACAGCCACAGAGTAGGATGGAGTGAACTGCAGCTCAGTACACTCTTCCTTTAGTCAGCAAATGGATATCTCGACTATGCCATAAGTGATGCAAGTTGACAGAGGACAATCGAGCCTTCTGTATCTGTGCTGAAATTTCGTCACTCACCAGGCCATCAGAACTGATGAGACTCTTAACATAAGTGGAGCGGTCGTTAAGCCCAGTTACTTCACTCCTTATCACTAGTTCAATTAAAGATGCAAGCCAACATTCTACATTTTGAGGCGGGAAACCGCATCCCGAATGTGCTTGCATTTTTGCTTAGGGTAGTCAGGAGACCCTGCATTTTTTCACCGTCTTCACCAAGTGAGACTTTGTCATCGGCATATTCTAAGTCAATAAACGTGTCTCCTTGTTAAAGTTCAACTACTGAAAAGTTAGACGACGAAAGCGTCATTTCTTAAGCACGTCAGTGATACAGTAAAACAAGAATGGGGATGGTGGACAGCCCTGACAGACACAACCTGAATAATTCATTTTCCATGACAGTTCACCATAAGCTGTGACTCAGTCAGTAGTGTACGAGTAGATAGCCTGTATAAGTTTTATTTTATCTTTGGTATATCTTTCAGTGACAGACACTGCCGCAGAACCTCACGGTGGACAGATTGAAATGCTGCTTTAGGGTTGAGGAAAACAACTGATGTGAAACTCCGAAATGTTTGAATCTATTAGGACCTAACGTAATGCGAATATCTGGTCTATACATCAGTGTCCCGGACTGAAACCAGCCTAGTTTTCTGGAGGCTGTGCTTCACAAGCTCCCTTGAGGCACCTACGTATTATCGAGGCTAACATTTTGGACAATACATTAGTCAAACCGATTCCTCTGTGATTGTCACAAGAAGACTTTTGTCCTTTCTCAATGACTGAGATCAGTTAGACGGGATTACGTTCAGTTCTCAATTTCTACTTAAGTTCCCAGTCATTTTCAATAATAAAGCTGGGCCTTCATTCTTAAAAATCTCAGGAGTTCCTTATCAAGCCCTGCTGCCTTCCATCGATTCAGACTTCGTATGGCTAATTCAACTTCATGAAGACTCGGAGGGCTTACGTTGACTTGCCTTTCAGGATGGCTGGATATCGTAGGCAACCGAAGTGTGAGTGAAGGCCAGTTGAACCGATCTCTGAAGTGTTCTCAACATCGATCCAATTTCCTGAATTGAGAATGAACGATACAGCCGTCCGTTTCTGAGATAGTTTCTTTATTAAATGGGTTCTAGTACCAGTTTCTTTGTATACTCTTACCTATTGCAGTTTCATTGTCCATCTCTCGGCCGACCACCACGTCCAGGTAGCAGCTGCGGTGGGTCAGCGTTTCCACACTTGAGTTATTTCAAGCAGACTTTTGATGCACAACTTCTAAGAGAATTCGTAGGAACCAATGACAAGCTGATACCTGCACATTTATGAAATAATAGCTTACCTGGTGAAAGTTTTGCGAATAATAATATTTCCGAATCTCCCGAGAGTCCCTCTGGGGCTACTGCCGGTCCCAAGCCCGGAAAAAGGAAGAGGGCTGGGTGTGGGGTTATCGACCCCAAATCTCAAAATGGAATCAAATATAGTACCAAAATGTCAACAGAAAGAGTCAGTAATATCATAACACGAATATATATACATGGAGGGATTTTCCAAATAACAAAACATTCAAAATAGATTCTACACCGGCCCGCAAAATCCCTCCATGCAAAAAACAAGCCCTTTCTGTGTGGACTGATCACACTTTCTGTCTCTTTACTATCTCTGTCATTACTAAGATTCTGATGACTACTATTTCCATTGCTAGTCATAGCATCCGAGATAACGAAGTTTAGGCTTCTTAATAATAGTAGCATCATGTCG